ACACACACACACACACACACACACACACACAGAGAGAGAGAGAGAGAGAGAGAGAGAGAGAGAGAGAGAGAGAGAGAGAGAGAGAGAGAGAGATCCATATATATTGTCACAGAACTATTGACTAAGAGTGCAAACACGTGAAGTAGAAGAAGAAACAAGATGAACGAAGAAAAGAAAAAAATAAAAGGACAGGCAGGCAAAGAGACAGACAAACCAGAAAGACAGAAAACAGTGCCTTCGTCTTCTTTGTTTTAGTGTATTCTTATTTCTTTCAGTGTTTTTTCAACTGTTATGTTTTTTTTTAACTGAACAAAGGATAAATATCCAAAAACAAAGACACATTGAAATCATTCAATTTATTAGTCTTCTTAAATCCAAAAATGATGTTGAGCGCAAGCTGCCCCCATCCCCATATGCCATAACAGCCCCACTTGCACGTTGTGGAAAAGAGGCAGAGTGAAGGCAGAGGTGTTAAACACAAGGAAGAGAGGAGCAGCAAAGAAAAACCGACAGGCGAAGGAAGGTGACACAACTTCTTCTTTCTTTTACTGTATTCTTCTTTCTTTAACAGTTTCGCAGTTTTGGTGAAGGGTCCGCCGTTCTCTTTTCAGCGCACCTGCACTTCCTTCTTAACTTTTTATTCTCATTTTCACCTTTCTCACATTTTCTTTGAGGGTGTTCGAGTGCAGGGTACAAACAAAGTAAAATGACAAAAAACTTCTTCTTTTACTGCATTCTTCTTCCGCTGCCTTGCAGCTGTACTGAAGGGTCTCGCACTGTTGTACACTCTTTTCAGCACACCTGCACCTTTTGGTGCACCTTTTTGTTAAGGTGCAAGGTACGTCTGAGTAAGACCCTCACGACAGATAGGACAACTATCATAAGGATGCGGGCAATGGTAGCAGCCCTCCCGCCGATCTATAGGACGGAAGACGATTCAGGCAAGCAACCTCGTCACAGCACGAGCCAGGATGGCTAGCATCAACCATACTGCTGAAGCATGCACCACAGAGGGCATGCCGGTTGCAGGCCATGACGATTGTGAGGCGTTCACCATCACAGTTAAGTGCACATTCGCTATAGCGCCCGCAGGCACAGATGGGAAATACTGCATCTGGATGTAGAGGATGTTCACAATCTGGATACAGATGGCATCCCTGCAGACAGCTGGCCCGAAAAATAATATGGTTGTAGTGATGTCGACAAAGTCGATGCTTTCCACAGCCAAGTGCAGCTGTGTCAGTGGCCACACAAAGAAGGAGGTCACAAAGGGTTGGTGCAGGATGTGGGGGAATAAAGTCTGAAGCAGGCACGGTGACAGGCACGGAGGTAGGCACGGAGACAGACACAGAGACGGGCACAGAGACAGGTGCGGAGGCAGGCACAGAGACAGGCGCAGACGAAAATAATGACAAGCTAGCAAGTTATCAAAAAGCCCGCCGAATGAAATACAGCCTCTGAGAGGATTCAGGAGGCAATGAGAGAAAGGGGGGCAGAATGTAGAACGCTGATTGACAATACGCAATCTATACATAAATGATAGACATACCCCTCTCTACCTCCCCTCTTCCCCCCCCGCCGGCTTTCTTTCTCTGGCACAGAGATGGCCAGATGAGCAGAACTCCCACCCCTTAAAATTCTCAATTCTTGGTTGACAGAAGCAATTAGAGAAATGAAACGTGCTAGCGAGGATTCTCCAATCCGAGGGCTGAAGGGCCCTGGAGTAGAAACACTGAAACAGTGACTAATTAGGACACATTCGAAATTCTCAACTCATAGCTTGCGAGTCGTGACCCAATAAATACAAATGAGTTTCATACAAAATATTAACAACAGTAGATCAGACGAGGAACAACACATTCCACACATAGAAATGTAGATTACGAACAACAGATACGAGAGAAGGGTCTTTTTTTTCATTATCCATCACATAATGACTAAGCATTAGCGAACCAAACAATTCTTGTACAAAACGACACGGTTTTGCACACGTGCACAAATACAACGTGCGCAAATACAACAAGCCATTTGAGGAAAGAAATCAAAACAAATACCGCCCCAATAACAGTGTTTATCTTTTTAATCTTTTAATAAAAGCTAATAAATTACCTGTTGAATCTGGACAGGACGGCCTTCCAGGCCTTTTTTATTGTCATTTTAGTATTACGGGGAACTCCGTAGCAGCCACATCCGTGCTCAAGCCTCCAACGAGGGAACATGCGCCAGCTGCACCCACCAGCAGGTGGGTGATACCGGCTTGCACCCACCAGCAGGTGGGTGATACCGGGCAGGGGTCAGCCGATAGCATCAGCACCGAGCTACTTCGATGGGTCAGTCACTGTGCCTCCCCTCCGGTCCCCTCCCGCTATGATCATCAGCAGTCTCTGCTCAATGCCACTTAGGGGGACCAACGGCATATCTCTAGGTGGTGGGCACCTCGCTTCCCCAGGAAGGTACACCGGTCAATGGGGATTGAACCCAAGACCTCCTGAATGCCACTTGCGTGCCTTACCAACTGAGCTAGGCCGCTGTTCATCACTGAAGCTTTTATCCAAAACTCCGGATCCTAAACTAAACCCTCCCCTTGCGAATCCATAACAAAAGAAGATGCACATCCCCAAATACAAAAAAGGGTACGTGAGAATGTGCACGGTTGTCGACCCAGATTTTGTCCTCCTCTCCTCCTCTCCTTCTCTCCTTTTCTCCTCCTCTCCTCCGCATCCTCTCATCCTCTCCTCCTTTCCTCTTATCCACATCTGCCCGGAAATCCATCCTTCGAGAACCTGATCATCTCCCCATTGCCATCAGCAGAAAAACTTACCAGACATGGAAGTTTCACGACAGGTGCCACGAAGTTTCATGGTGAATTCCATGCCTCGAACCCGGTTTCCACACATCCAAACTTCTGCCAGGGTGATAGAGGCAACCCATCGTCTCCTTCCCTCCCTCCCTCCCTCCGTCACTCCCTGGTGGTCTTCATCACGATAAAAGAAAATCTACCGGACAGCGAACAATAAACATTATCACTACTACCAGGCAATATGACCCCTACCGCTTGCTAAATACAACCGTGGAGTGCAATTATCCCACGGTATTACGAGGTGCGACCTGAGTTTAGACCGCACCGGGCCTCCACGTAGTGCTCCCGACCCCTCTCCACCGCTGTCGAGCGGAACTTCGCATCACTCTACTGCGACAGGCTCTTTGTAAATCGCCGCCTGCAATGTTAGCACATCACCTGAACCATTAGCAGATAGTATTAACAGTTAAAGCACAAGTACATGCCGGCAGCTATCGGCCGCGGGCCCCTTTTGGAGGCTGCCCGCCACCGATTCATTTTATCTACGGCGCTCGGGCTCCTAAATTTCCGAAGAGGCTCAAAATAGGATCTCCAGTTGCCTGGGGCCATTGATGACCGGACAAACGACGTCATACAATCCAACAGAACAGCAGGCCGAGCAAAGCACATCCTCATGCTACAGCACGCTTCGCCTCCCCGCTCCTCTGGCAAACCCTCTTCGCCGCCCGCATTATGTCTTCCACCTGCGGAATTGCCGCTCTCTCCAGATTGGCAGCATATGGCATGGGGACGTCGGCACCTGTGATCCTCTCAACTGGAGCATCGAGGAAATCCATGCTCTCTTCGACCACAGACGCGCAAATCTCTGCGCCAATCCCATTTTGCGGCCATCCCTCCTCCACCGTCAGAAGACGAGACGTCTTCCGTACAGACTTGTTGATCGCATCTCTATCCAGCGGCCTGATCGATCGCAGGTTAATGACCTCTACGCTGATGCCCTGCTTTGCCAGCTCCTCCGCAGCCTTCAGCGCAAAGCCAACCATTTTTGAGAAGGCAGTGATAGTCAGATCTGTCCCTTCCCGCTCAATCTTGGCCTTACCAATCGGGATGACGAAGTTGGAGTCGAGCGCCTCCTCGGAAACAGGGAACGCCTCGCCGTACAGCAATTCGTTCTCCAGCACAACGACGGGATCGGGGTCCCTAATGGCCGCCTTCAGCAGACCTCTGGCGTCCTCCGACGAGTACGGGGAGACCACCTTCAGACCTGGGACAGAGGAGTACCACGCGGCGAAACACTGTGAATGCTGCGCCCCGACACCGGCTGCGGGACCGTTGGGCCCTCGGAACACAACTGGGACCGTCAATTGCCCTCCAGACATGTAGTGCGACTTGGCGGCTGAGTTGATGATTTGATCAATCGCCTGCATGGAGAAATTGAAGGTCATGAATTCCACGATCGGTTTCAGTCCGTACATTGCCGCGCCGACGCCGAGGCCAGTGAACCCAGCCTCAGTAATTGGAGTGTCAAGGACGCGGTCGGGCCCATATTTCTGGAGCAACCCCTTCGTTACCTTGTATGCGCCCTGGTACTCCGCTACCTCTTCTCCCATAATGAACACTTTGATATCCGCTGCCATCTCCTCGTCGATGGCCGAGTTCAATGCATCTCGGACGGTCATCTGCTTGGCCGGGGTGCTGAACATCCGCACTCCACCCCATGAAGCGGCGGGGAAGCGAGAGGAGCACAAATCCGCCGCCGCTGCTCCCCTGACATACTGCCCTACACGTGGCAGCAGTTGACTGGTCGACGATGACGACGAAGCCCCGCCCCGCCATTTCCCGCCAGCATGGCGAGCAACGGCGCCCCGCGCAGCAACCAGCGTAGCTCGGAGAGCCCCTTGCATGGTGACTGTATCTCAAGAGCGAGCGCGAAAACGAAACTCGGGCGACGGCGAGGGCGAAGGCAAAACTTCCGCAAACTCCCCACCCCGCCGCTCAACGCGGCCCCTGCTAGACGACTCGCGAAACTGCACGACAGATGTGTGGGCGGCAAATTGGTTGGGGAGAAGAGTGCGTGCACGGCCCCCAAAAAAAACTCGCCGCGCATTCACCCTTGCTACCAATCGCCAATGGACGGTGATACTTGTTCCCTTTTTTAATGCTAGCGGCCTACCGGTAGTGACACAGCAAAAGGAACGAGGAGTCGGTTTGCGCGGGTGCCAATTGTTCTCCAAATCTGGGCGCCAAGCGTCATGTGGCGAATATTCGTTCCCAAATCTGGGCGTCGAGAGTCCTGTGGCAATTTATATTCGCCGGCGGCAGTTGTCTCCGAATAGTGTTGTCATGCGAGCCGTAATGCTGGGCATGTAACTTGCACCATCTCCTGGAGGTCAAAAGCCGAATACGTAACCGAGCAGCACATGTCAGAATCAAAACAAGCATTACTTCGGATTTCACCAAACAGATTGATCAAACCTCAATGAAGAAGTTCCATTCAAAAAAAGCGAAAAAGCAAAAAAGAAAGAAAGAAAGAACACAGAAAGAAACAGAAAAAGATGCTCTGGTCGGCGTCATGCCTTGCCATTGACTATAGTCAGAACAACCTGGTTAGCAAACACGTCAATCTTGACCCTTCAGTGGTCAAAAGGTCAAGCAGAACATTCAGAACACAATTTTGTTCTGTTTCTTTTTTTTTTATGGCCTTACAAAAAAAGCAAGATTTTACTCATTTTTTTTCTCCTAAAGTCAAAAAAAAAAAAAAAAAAATCAGATTTTACTCTCTTCTCTGCTTCACATTGGCTAGAAGACAGATACTGAACTCCCAAGCTCTCTCTGGCGAAGTTCCATAAGGGCAGAGGTCAGGGGTTCGATACCAACATCAATCATCTTGTACAGGAGTCCATCTTAATCTTGTAGATGCATTTTGCAAGGTTAGGGATTCAAGGTTAGGGGTTCGATTCCGCCCTTTCTTATCTCAAGACCAGGTCGATCCAGGCCGTTTGGCCCGTTGAGACTGAAAAAAAAACGCGCACTCTTTCCAATCATAAGCCCGGGTCTATTGAGGCCGGTCGGGTAGGACCAAACGGCATGGATTTAGGCGCTATCTTACAATCTTAAGACCGCGTCTATCCAGGCCGTCCACCTGGTAGGACCCAGCGGCTCAAATCAGACATTTGGTACATTTGTCCGTCGATCCGGGCCGTGGACAGGTGGGCCCAAAGACGGTCAGGATCATACATTTATCACAATAGCGAATTTAATTGTGTAGGGAGGGAAATGGGCAGCGTGGCACTCTCTCTCTCTCTCTCTCTCTCTCTCTCTCTCTCTCTCCCCACTACACCATGAACTGTCGTAATGCAGACCCAGGTTCGAATCCAACGATAATATCCCAAGGCTCTCGCCCGCTAGAAAAGGAAAAAAGCCACGTTCCATTTTCCTTATAAGGCAAAGTAATTTATTGAGAAAAAATCTATCAAACGAGAAAAGCGTTGTTCGCAAAACTTTTTATTGGGGGGGGAACATTTTTCGATTTATGCACACGTTTCATCCTTGGATAAGCAGGGATCATGTTATCATTGCATGCACACGTCTGTCATTCTCTCTTTCTCTCTCTCTCTCTCTCTCCCGCTGCCGCGTCTCCCTCCATTGCACTTCTTTCCCCGCCCCTTTCCTCCCAGGGAAAACACAATTTTCCCTGCGCAGGCTTACACATCTCGATGCTCTACCCAATTGTGCCACTTCTTCCCCGCGCCCATTTCCTCCCTTCTTGATTCCGATTTCCCTCCCCTCGTCTAATCCATTCTCACCTGATCGGCTGTCTCCCCCCAACACACACCCTTTAGATTCTTCTCCTGCTCGCCTACCTCCACCCCAACGGCCGGCAATCATCCTCCCCCCTTCCCAAAATCCCCTCCTCATCCACGTATATTTGCGCACACGTGTGCACCTCTCTCTCTCTCTCTCTCTCTCTCTCTCTCTCTCTCTCTCTCTCTCTCTCTCTCTCTCTCTCTCTCTCTCTCTCTCCGCCGCGTTTCCCTCCATTGCTCTCTACCCCAACGAATGCAAGGCATCTTTTAATGTTTTCGAAGGGGTTGGGAGTGTGGGTTGGAAGTGAGGGAGAGAATCACTCAGTCGAGTCAGCAATGTTGACGGAGCACGCAGCCCCAGTTCAGTGGAAGCGCGAGCACCAATTCACGGCAATTCACAGATCGTGGCACACCCAAGTCACACCAATTCACGAAACACAGAGCACCAATTCACTAAGCACAGAGCACCAATTCACGAAACACGCAGTACCAAGCACCGACCCACGAAGAGCGGAGCACCAATTCACGAAGCACGCGGCCCTCGTCCACGAAGCACGCAGCCCCAGATCACGAAGCACCAACCATTGAAGCACGAAGCACCGGTTCACGAAAGCACCAATTCACCAATTCACGAAGCATGACGCATTCACCAAGCACGGACCACCGAGCAGCGAAGCACGAACCAAGTTCACAAAGAGCGAAGCAGCAAGCTCACGAAACACGGAGCACGGAGCACGGAGCACAAAACGGAACATGCACGAAGCACAAAACGGAACATGGAGCAGGAAACACCAAATAAAAATGTCGCACCGAAGTACTAAGAAGCACGGATCACAGAGCACCGAAGCACGGAGAATGGGGCACCGAAGCACGACGCAAGAAGCCCCAACTTCACGGAGCCCAGAGAACCAAGCACCAAGCACCAAAATCGCCGGGCAAGGAGCACGGAGCACCAAATTAAGTCGCACCAACGCACAAAGCACAAAGCACAGCACACACACTGGATCAAATTCAGTCGAACCAGAGAACCAAGCTCTCTCGTTCAAGCTGCACCACAGCTCGGCGCACCAAGCTCACGGAGCACGAAGCACCGGTTCATGAAAGCACCCAGTTGCACATCGAACCACCAAAGCGCGGAGCACGTACCACGTATGAATCACATCTCACGGACGGCAGAGCCCGAATGTTGGCGTCTGGAAGGAAAACGACCGGTTCTTATTGGTAGTCACGTCTATGGCGGGAGCCAAGGAGAGAACGGGCCGTGCAGACGGTCTGGTCTTCTGCGGGTCATGAAACTTAGGGCCTCGCCCACAACACTGTCGAAAAGAAATGAAAACGAACGCATTCAGCAAAGAGCTGGCTATTCATAGTAACGGATGTCTATTGCCCTTGTCTGCGGGAATATGCGTTCTCTCTTTTTTTCGTTTTGGAAGTGGTGTGGCGAGGCCCTTGGGGGGACACGCGCCATACAGCGGTGCGTTTTTAACGCTGACACAGGCAGACCATTCGACAAATGGTCCAGCTGCGCAGTTCACAGCCAGGATGGCTGCGTATAGATGCATGCCTTTTGTCGTTTACCCGCAGGTTTCCATATGGGGAATGTAGTCGACGGTGTTGGCAGCCCTGAGGCTGAGGTATAGTGGGCTTTGTGCATTTTTGGACCATTTCTCGATTTATGCGTGTCATCCTTGCGCAGGGGCCATGCTAATCTTCTCTGTATGGTTCCAATTTTAAGGGATGTCCCGAGGGACCAGGACGCAAAGTCGGTTCTTAGGGGGCGAAAAAATTTGGAGACAGGTCCTTCGCAAAATTGGGGACTACCTACTGCTAGCTCTGGTAGAACCTGGATTTTTGGAAAAAGAAAGGACAGGTCCTCGGAAGCGGACCCCAAGAAGAAGTGAGGGCATGTGAACTGCAAAACAGCCCTCAGGCCCTGGCGTTGAGGCCCGTTGGTGGCAATTCGGAGCCTGTCAGGGTTGCGTTTCCCCCCCCTGAGACATTTCAACGTTCAACGTCATTTCAACGTCGTGGTCGTCGGGAGGGTGGGCATTTTGAGGTTTTGGGGCCTTGCAAGGGCCAGGACC